TGCAGCCTGCCTTTTCTAAGATTTGGAAATGCAAATGTGGGTAAAGCAGCTGCTCTGTGGAGGGCAGACGTGTGGTCAGTGGATGAGGGCTGCACTGGAGAAGAGGTGCCAGGGCCCATGGTATGAGACTTGGGGCTCCCACACACACGGGGTTCAGAAGAACCTGCCACAGGTCCTGTGAGGCCAAGGAGAGGAGCACGGAGTCAGTACCAGTGCAGAAAGGCATGTTCTAGGGCATGAAGGTTTTCAGCCCAGGGTCTAATCCCTAGCATCATAATCAGTAAGGAAGCCCCACACAGAACCCGTCTGTGTACACTCAGCCATGGGGCTTCGGATTTTAGGGGCTTGGGAGTCAGGACTATCTACAGGTAGAGTACTCACTATTCAAGCGTGAGGACCCAAGTTTGGATCCCCAGAACCACGTGAAACCTGATGCGGCAGGGTGCCTGTGACCTCGATGCTCCCACACCAGGATGGAAGGGAGGGGGAGATATCCCAGAAGTGCTTGGGCCCATTTGTCTCAAAGTAAAAGCCAAGGACACCGGGGGATTCTCACCTGCAAACCCAGCATTCAAGATACAGAGGCGGGAAAATTGTCACTTAATAAATTTACATTCAGAAAGAATCGTATGTAGAGCAAGACCCCAAGATTCCGTGGTGCCTATAGGAAGGTAGCTGTTTAGAAGAATGTGCCACACATAGGAAAGGCGCCGGGTGGGTCAGGCACTGTCAGCCTTGTTTTCCGGCTGACTGACCCTGCTCTGGTTTTGGTGATGCTGCCCCCTGGTGGCCGTGGCAAGACTGGAGTCTTGGGGAGTCTATCTCTTTGATGATGCTGCCCCCTGGTGGCCGTAGCAGGACTGGAGTCTTAGGGAGTCTATCTCTTTAATGACGCTGCAAGACCAAAAGTAACTTGGGAAGGAAAAGGATTTTCTCGTCTTACAGCTTGTAGTCCATCATCAATCAGGACGGAAACTCAAGGCAGGAACTGTCTCGAAGGCCGTGGAGGAGCGCTGCCTATTGACTTGCTCCTCATGGTTTGCTCAACCTTCTTTCTCAGTAACATCCAGGACCACCAACCCATATCAATCATCAATCAAGAAAACTCACCCAAGGCTTGTCCACAGGCAAATCTGGTGGGGGAATTTTCTCAACTGAGATTCCCACTTCCAAAATGGTTCTAGTCAGTATCCAGTTGACATGAAACTAGCCGGCACAATTGCCAATTTGATACACAGATACATCACTAGGCACTGGAACCTTTCCTTTCTCATGTGTCCCCAAGATGGCATGTTAATATTAGTATAGTAAAATAAATCACAAATAACTTCAAAAGTCCTACCGTCTTTAAAATATAATCTCCTTAAAGCAGCCAAAATCCCTCTCAAGGTTTAAGCCTCTCTAAAATATCTAGTCTCTCTAAAACTCCAAAGTCCCTGTAGAATTCTGAGGTCACTGGGGGCTCCTGTAAAATAAAAATAAGTTAAACAGCCAGGCACAGTAGTGCACGCCTTAATCCCTGCGCTTTGGAGGCAGGGGTGGGCAGATCTCTGAGTTCAAGGTTAACTGGTCTACATAGTGACTTCCAGGACAGCCAGGGCTACACAGAGAAACCCTGTCCCAACATGATGATGATGGTGGTGGTGAAGCTGTAGCTAACCCCGTTCTCACAGAAGGAAAAACCAGCACACCGGTACATTCAACAAAAACAGAACCAGAGTTCGACAGCATAAAGGTCAGCGTCAGACTTCTGAGACTCTCAATATTCTAACTCCCAAGGGTTTGCCACAGGACACAAGTTTCCCAGACTCGGGTCAGCTCCATCCGCGTCCACTGCTGCCCTGGGAGGCCATCCCACGGTACCCGCAACTCCAGAATGGGGTTTCTTCTGCACCTGGCCTGCACCTGCACCAGCAGCCTCTCCAGGCTTCCCTTCAGGGACTCCAGCCCTGATACACAGTGCCAAGCCTCAGCTGCTCTCATGACCTCTTCATGTCTTGGAAACCAGCGCCACCTGGGAGACTTACACATTGCCAAACTCTGCTGCCAGCACAGGGTACAGCCTTGCGGTCCTGTGGACCACAGCTTCTCTGTGCTGACCCCAAGGAGTTGCCGGGTGTGATGGATGGTGCGCGTCATTAATCCCAGCACTCGGGAGGCAGAGGCAGGCGGGTCTCTGAGTTCGAGGCCAGCCTGGTCTGCAGAGTGAGTTCCAGGACAGCCAGGGCTACACAGAGAAACCCTGTCTGGAAAAGAAAACCGACAAACAAATAAACGATATTATGTTGAATAAATCACGTTCAGCAAGCAGTGCACAGCATTTCTCGTGACCTCTGCCTCAGGTCCCACCTCCGGGTTCCTGCCCCGACTTCCTTCATGACAGACTGTGATCAGGATACTCCCGCGAAACAAACCCTTTCCTCCCCAAGTTACTTTAGCTCGTGGCGTTTTGTTTCAGCAACCCTAAGATACTCCCCGTGGTCCATCCTGACTCCGTGGACCCCAGGATGGCAGGAAGAGCTTCCCCGTGGCCCGCCCACCCCCTCACCACTGGACTGCAGGGGCACTTTGTGGAGTGGATAGATCAAAGAGGAATGAGGGGGAGGGGTAGTGGTGGTGTGCAGGAGACGGAGGGAGTGGTGAGCGGATGGGTGCGCTTGTGGGCGAGCGAGGAGTTAGTGAGCGGGTGGGAGTCACTAAGAGCCAGTGAGCGGCTGGGGTGCGCCGTGGATGCAGCGGGAAGGACGGAGGAAGGGAGGGCCCACTCGCTAGACGCTGATTGTTAACCCCAAGCCAGCTCAGGAAGTTTCCACGGTCAGACGAAGACGCTTGAAAAGCCTGTGGTCAGTGACGACAAAACCCTGACTTGACCTTTGCTAACCAATCAAAAGGCAGCCTGGTGGGTAGAGCGGCTTCTCCCCACCGGCCCCTCCCGCCACCTCTGCGATGCCCGCGGCACACACCGGCGAGGCCAGGGCTTCGGTGCCCGCTCTACCGTGGAGAAGGCAGAGCCGGGCACTCCACAGCTTAGCGTGCAACAGGCGCTTGGCTTGTAGCCTGGTACCTTCCTGTACGGACCGAGCCTGTGGACGGGGAAGGTTCCACTGGCTGCTGCCCCCTTGGGTAAGCACCTCCCTTCCTGCGAGGCGCTGTGTCCACGCTGGGGAAGCCCAAGCCAGTTGGTGCATAGAGAGCCGGTGTCCGTGCAGACTGCCCAGGTCCGTGTGGGTCTCCTCCAGCACCCATTTCTAACTTCCCATGCACCCCTCGCAGGCCCCTTCAGGTTGCCCCTCCCTCCTCTGCCTCCCCAGTCACTGTTGACCCTACTGGCTTCCCTGATAACTCAGCAAACTGGGGATTCCCAGTTCGGGATTTAGCTCAGAGGTTTAAAAAAGACAAATGCCTGTGTTCAGTCACTCACGCATGTGCTCACCCACACGAAGGTGGGGACTCCCAGCCTCGTTGCTGAGGTAGCCCCAGATCTCCCGGGAAACCCCTACCCTGGAGTGTACTGGCAATCGCCCACACAGTGGTAGCCGTGGTGTCTCCAGCGGGAGCATTTTCTGGAATCTCTTGTCTTCCTAGTCTTTCAAGAATATGTGCTTTTGTGTGCAGTAAAATAAACTCCATGAAGCCAGGCGATGGTGGCGCTCGCCTTTAATTCCCAGCACCTGGGAGGCAGAGGCAAGCGGATCTCTGTGAGTTTGAGGCCAGCCTGGTCTACAGAGCTACACAGAGAAGCCCTGTCTCGAAAAATCTAAATAAAAGATAAACGCCACTGGTGTCTCCTTTGTTTAGCCCCTCCCCCGCAGTGTGTACTTTCCTGACTTAGGGGCCACGAGGAGGAGGAGGAGGAACCACAAGAGTGGAGGCATCTGGGAGTCACGGAGCCGCTGGTCACCTGCCTTCCCCACGGAGACTGCTCAGGCCAGCCCACGTGGTCCATGCAGGATTCCAGTCATAGTGTTTTTCTGGGGTCCTGGAGGGGATGCTGGCCCCGGGGGTGATGTCAGAGCCCTGAGGTTGAAGGAAGGAGAGGGGCCAAGGCAGGTAGAAGCTGCCAGAGAGGGCATCTGGGGCCTGTGGGGGAAGGATGGAGGCCCCAGCCCAGAGTGGGAGCAGATTAGTGTTTCGGGAAAACAGGGTGTCCATCCCTCGGCCGCACTACACTCTGTGGGTGGCTATGGGGATGAAAGACTGCTCGACTTCACTCTGCCAAGGGCAGCGCAAAACTGCGAGGCCGCAAACCCCGCCCCACCTGCCCGCCACTCGCCACGGCTGCACCACACTTAGTCCTTGGTTCTGGTTCCCCACGAGGAACAATGTCGACCCATAGAGGCAGTGACGTCTTGTTTTAAAAAGGGAGTAGAGAGGCTGGGGACATGGGTCAGTTCACAAAGTGTTTGCTGCCAGAGTTGGGACCCCAGTACCCACAGAGAAGCTGAGACATGGGGCCGAGAATGCTGGCACACGCCTTTAACCCCAACACGGAGGCGGCAGAGGCAGGCGGATCTCTGTGAGTTCGAAGCCAGCCTGGTCTACAGAGCGAGTTCCAGGACACCCAGGGCTATACGGCGGAAATCCCGTCTCAAAGAAACAAAAAGCTGAGGCGGGAGGGCAAGCATGGCCACCTGCTTGGACCGCCTTTCTGCTTGCAAGGCAGAGACAGGGAATTTCTGGAGCAAGCTAAGTAGCCAAAGCGGTGAGCTCCGGGTTCAGGGAGACCCCGCCTCAACAAATAAAGCAGAGAGCAAGTGGGGAAGTAGTCAGGTGTTAGCCTTTGGCCTCCATACATTTACAGATGCGCGTGCCCGCACACACACACACACGCATGCACTCTCTCTCTCCAAGCAAAAAGCCACTAAGCAGGAAGCTAAAAGGCTCTTGGGAGGTGATGACAAGAGGGTCAGGAGTTCCAGGTCATCCTGTGCTACTTACTGAGCTGCAAGAAACCACGTCTCAAAAATAAATAAATAAAAGATAAACAACAATAACCAAAGGAGATTTGGACCAACTTGTATTTCCGTGTTCTTGTTCTCGTTTTTCTCAACACTTTCCGCGGTGAAGATCAAAAGTTAACCTCAGACGTCATTTCTCACCACCGGCTCTGTGCAACTTTGTGATGCGTGTGTGAGCTTCAGAGGGGCCGGCTCCAAAGCACGCTAAGGTCATCGTCTCTAGCCCTGGTACGCCACGTGTGTGGGAGACTCTTGGGGGGAGGGGTCAGTCCCAACAGTGAGTGACCTGGCGAGGTAGATAACAAAGCATGGGTCTGACTGGGCCAAGACAAGGCTCTTATGGGGGAGCCCTGAGGTCTTCATCTCCCATCCGGCATTGGAGAAAAACGGGGCGGAGAGCCTTCCCCCTGACTCGCCCTTTCAGGAGATCCCAGCCTACTTCCCCTGTGATGCTGGGGCCAGAAGTTGCAAGGCAAAGGAAGGCATGCCAGATGCCGGATACCCCCTTATCCGGTAGCAGCCATGTCAACCTCTTTCTGGGGTGCCCACTGGCACTTCCTAATGGAAATAGTAGAGGGCTCCCTAGGGAGGACATATGGGGCTACCAGGAGCTGGGGCAACTGGCCACCATGCCCCATGGCTCCCCTAGAAGACAATTATGTCAGCCGGGCGGTGGTGGCGCACGCCTTTAATCCCAGCACTCGGGAGGCAGAGGCAGGCGGATCTCTGTGAGTTCGAGGCTGGGCTGGACCGACAGCCTCCAAAACAATACAGAGAAACCCTGTCTCGTAAAAACCAAAAAAAAAAAAAAAAAGAAGAAGAAGAAGAAGAAGACAATTATGTCTATACAGAACCAACCTCTAGTGGGAGCCCTCGGGGTAGGACTCCTAGCCCCCCATGGCTCTTTGGCCATGTCACAGCCCCTAAGAACCATGATGCTAAACCTGGATGCAGGTCATGTCTGCCCCTGTGGAAAGTCCCAACATACACTGCAGTAGGCACTGGACAATACAGGAATGCACAGAAGAGAAAGCCATCATCCAGGGCTCTGCCAAGTACCCTGCTGATGCTGTTGGGACCCTGCAGAGCAAGCTGCTGCTGACGAGCTCTCCTGCCAGTCACACGCTCCCCGAGTCCCTGGCAGCCTAGGGGTATGACTGGTGCTCTCAGAACACTGCCACTTTCCATATAGGAGGGTCTGGAGGTCTTGGACATCCAAGAAATAGACGTTTACAGAGTTGAGCAGCCTTAGGAAGGGAGGATCAGCAGTGTGTCCCCCAGAATGACATCTACAGTGCTGTGAACACCCTAGCCAGTGGCTCAAAGGAATACGTGACAGGCTGGTTTCGAGGCTTGGCATCCTAACCCCGAGGTGGCCTGGGCTTAGCAGAATTCCTCAGGCAGTCTCTGTGGGGAGCACTGCGGGTCCAGCGGGTCCAGCTGAGCCAGCTGTGACCCTGGAGGGTGCACCGGCTTGGGGAAGGTGTAGGCGTTTGCAAGCGCTGTGGGCAAGCGCGTCTCCTCTGAGTCCCTAAAGTCTGTAACGGATGTCTTTGTGGACCACTTTTTCCACCCTGTGTGGATTCTGGACACCTCTTGCCGAGAGTGGTCTGTAGCTAGCACGTAGATGATGGGGTCGGCAACGCTGTTGACCGTGGACAGGCACAGAAACACCACGGAGACTGTGTACAGCCTGCCTTCGAAGGCGCACACGGCATCCCCGTCTCCTCCGACGGCGGAAAAGCTAACAGCCTTGATGAGGAGCACCAGGTGGTAGGGAGCGAAGCAGACCAGGAAGATGGCGACGACGGCCGTGGCAGAGCGCTTCACCCTAGCTTTCTGTGCAGCGCTCAGGCTCGAGCTCAGCTTGATGCTCCTGAAGATTCGGTGATTGGTGAAGGCTAGCGTGCCCAGAGGGAATGCGAAGCCAAAGGTGAAACGCAGGTAGTGGTAGCTTGCTATCTTACTGTTCATAACCAGGGGCTCAAAGCAGGAGTTCCTCTCCATCTTCATGTCAAACACGGGATAGTTAACGAGCCCAACAAGAACGAACACAGCTACAGAAACGATGACGGCAGTCCTCTGGTGGCGGTGGCCTCGGCTCTCCAGGGCATAGACCACGGCCATGTAGCGGTCGCAGGAAATGCAGCACAGCAGAAGGATGCTAATGTAGATGTTGCAGAAGAAGACGTAAGCGGTCACCTTGCAGGCCTGCGGGCCCAGGTTCCACCTGTGCTGGTTCTGGATGTAGACGATCCAGAGCGGCAGCGTGCCGATGTACAGCAGCTCGCAGAGCGACAGGCAGAACAGGTAGACAGCCAGCACGTTTCTCTGCAGCACCTGCAGCAGCGTCAGCCACGCCGTGAGGCAGTTGGCCGGGAGGCCCAGCATGCACACTGCACTGTACACCACCACCAGGACCACCCTGCTCTCCTCGTAGGACGTGTGGCAGATCTTAGCGGAGGGGACTGAGGCAGTCTGAAGGATGGAGGTGACCCCAGGTGTGCTGTTTCCTGTGGAACAGAAATGACAAGGTGGATGGGGAGTCTATGGAAACCGCCCCCGCTCCGCCCCCCCCCGGGGGATTTATAATACCAAGAAAAAGTACGACGCTCAGTGGTAGTGGGAGTGGAGAGACGACTCTGCCAGTAAAACCCACCGGCTGCCACGCCTGAGGACCTGAGTTTGATCTCAGGATCCCACAGGAGAAGGGGAGAACCAACTCCCTGTTACATACACGCACACGCGCATACACGCACATACACGCACACACACACACAAGTGCATGTGCACACACACAAATAGCAAATAAAAATTTTAAATAAAAGAGACGTTTCACAGACTCCAGACACATCAGGAGTTGAAAAGGACTCCAGCTGGAGGGAGTCAGCAGGACCAGACTGGTTGGGACAGGCATCAGCCTTGACTGCTGAGGTTCTGTAAGGGCTCCCCACATCCTCCTTCTCTGGCCACCGTGGCCGTCTGATGGCAAAAACCTTTGGCCACGCCCTGGCTCAGATCTGGGGGCCTCAGGGTCACTGTGTCCTGGTCCCAGGTTGATATTTCTTTCTTGGCCTCCCCCCCCAGGACTCCAGGGCTCATTAATCCCTTGACATCTATACGGACATTCAACTGTCTGGAGAAATAATGTGTCCCACATGCTGGCATGGCTCTGGGGGTCCTGGCCGGCTGTCGCAGACACCCTGGGACTTCAGATGCCCATGTCATCATCCTCAGCCTGGATGGATTTCAGAAGGACAACTTTGGCCATATGATCAGTCATATGAGATGTCACAGTGGTCACTGGATGCCAGCTGAGAACCGCACTGTACCTCAGGTGAGGGCTCCTTGTCAAGAAGGTGGCTTGTACCCACACACGGACTGATACTTTTTTTTTTGGTTTTTCGAGACAGGGTTTCCCTGTGGCTTTGGAGTCTGTCCTGGAACTCGCTCTGTAGACCAGGCTGGTCTCCAACTCACAGAGATCTGCCTGCCTCTGCCTCCCGAGTGCTGGGATTAAAGGCGTGCACCACCACTGCCCACCTGGGCCTGATACTTTCTCATGCAACTCCTGTATTTCCCAGGCTGGCATTTTAAAAGTCTGATGAAATACACATAGCACAAAACGTTCCCTCCGAGTCATCCCCAGCATGCACTTCACTGCCGCTAAGTACATCCTTGGTGCCGCGCCCAGCGATACCCAGCTCTGGATACTTCTGCAGATCAAAGCTTCTCTAGAAGCCCTGACCCTCCCTCCCCTGCCAGTTCCTCCTCCCTCCTCCCCTCTGCCTCTGTAGAGGGGCCTCACACAGGTGGAGTCTTCGTTAGTGCAGTCTTATTCTCCTGGGTGCGGTGTCCTCCAGGTTCGCCCACCTTGCAGGGCGTGTCCGAGTATCTCTTCTTTTCAAGACAGGACAGCAGCCCATCGAGACACTCCATGCAGGATGACATCCCACGGGGCACACACACACACACACACACACACACACACACACACACACACACGGCTTACTTGTCGTGTGCCCACAGATGCTAAGCTGCTTGCCACCACGGGGCTGTCATGAACATGCTTCTGTTGTGAGCATAGGTGTCCCCTGACTTCCGTCCCCGCCTTCTCCTTTTGGGGGATGCGCAAGAGCAAGTGTGCTGGGTGACGTGGCCGCTCTGTGTTTCCTCTTGGGGAACCCCGCGATACGTCTCACAGCGCCTGCTCCATTTTGGATTCCCACCCACAGAGCTCAGGGCTAGCCAGCGTCTGTCTGTCTATCTTTCAATTCCTTTCTGACAGTGGGCGTGAGATGCTGTCCTCTCACAACCTGGGTGCCTAACTCACCACTCAGGGCACCCATGCTGTCACCACATCTTTTTTTTTTTTGGTTTTTCGAGACAGGGTTTCTCTATTGTTTTGGAGGCTATCGGTCCAGCCCAGCCTCGAACTCACAGAGATCCGCCTGCCTCTGCCTCCTAAGTGCTGGGATTAAAGGCGTGCGCCATCACTGCCCAGCTGCTGTCACCGCATCTTGAGAGAGAAACTGAGATTGAGATTCCAGAGGTGGTGAGCTGCCTCGGACTCCAGTGCCAAGTCTTGGCATCAGAACCTGTGTGGGGCCAGTAGGCAGTGAGGATGAGGGACAGGCAGCTACAGGTCTTTAGACTACCTGGACAGCTCTCTGTAAGAACACCCTCAGGCAGGCATGGGAGTCTGTTCTCACCCCTGGTTCACACCCTCAGGCAGGCGTGGGAGTCTGTTCTCACCCCCGTTCACACCCTCAGGCAGGCGTGGGAGTCTGTCCTCACCCCCGTTCACACCCTCAGGCAGGCGTGGAGTCTGTTCTCACACACCCTGTTCACACCCTCAGGCAGGTGTGGGAGTCTGTTCTCACCCCCTGGTTCACACCCTCAGGCAGGCGTGGGAGTCTGTTCTCACCCCCGTTCACACCCTCAGGCAGGCACGGGAGTCTGTTCTCACACACACCCTGTTCACACCCTCAGGCAGGCGTGGGAGTCTGTTCTCACCCCCTGGTTCACACCCTCAGGCAGGCGTGGGAGTCTGTTCTCACCCCCGTTCACACCCTCAGGCAGGCGTGGGAGTCTGTTCTCACCCCCGTTCACACCCTCAGGCAGGCGTGGGAGTCTGTTCTCACCCCCGTTCACACCCTCAGGCAGGCGTGGGAGTCTGTTCTCACCCCCGTTCACACCCTCAGGCAGGCGTGGAGTCTGTTCTCACACACACCCTGTTCACACCCTCAGGCAGGCGTGGGAGTCTGTTCTCACCCCCGTTCACACCCGTCTGTCCTCTGCCCTGTCTCTCTGGTTTGCAGCTTGCTCCCCGTTCACACTCTCCATCTCTGTCCCCCACCCCCCACCGCACATTCTTACTGACACCTACAGTAAACAGGGCCAACCCGGGTCCTGGCCTTTCACAACACCGCACGGCCCAGCCACAGACTCCCTGGTGTGGCTCTGTCCCTTGCCACCTGCTCAGGCCCGCAGAAGCCTCTGGGTCTTCTCTAAGGACTCTAGGCCCTGTCACATACACCGTCTGAGGGTGGCTGTGGCCCTCACAACCCCACTCCCCCTGCAGGCGACCTTGGCAGACAGACCCGGGGTAGGGAGGAGCCTCGGGAGTGGAAAGAAGGGTGAGGACAATGGCATCAGGGAAGGCCTTGGGGACCTCCTGACAGCTCTCTGGGGCTACCAGATGGCTCATGATTTACCACCGGTCACTCTCATGGGAAGCAGGCACCCCGAGTGCCAAATGCCTCCTCACTCCTGTGCTTGGCTTTTTCCAGCGCTTGTCAGAAACACTGATGAAATGGGTGTGTCTTAAGTTCTGTTTATTGAATGACTGACTGACTGAGGTAGCTCTGAACCAGGCTGACTTCACATGCGCTATTTAGCATGTACCACTTACTAGACATAGTTTTATGTGATAGTAGAGATTGGACCCAAGGCTTCATGCATGTTCATGCATGTTCATACATGTTCATGTACGTTCATGCATGTTCAACTAACATCCTACCCAACCGAGCCATAACCCAATCCATTGCATCTTGAGCTCTTTCTGTTGTGTTTTTTGTTTGCTTTTCAAGACAGAATTTTTCTGTATATCCCTGACTGTCCTGGAACTCGCTCTGTAGGCCAGGCTGGCCTGGAATTTGGTGATCTACCTGCCTCTGCCAATCCTAAATGCTGGGATTAAAGGTGTGAGACACCACTGCCTGGCTGCATCTTGAGTTTTTTGTTGCTGTAGTTTTACCAAGGCAGGGTTTCTTTGTATAGCTCTGGCTGTTCTAGAACTTGCTCTATACACCAGATTAGCCTTGAACTCAGAGATCTGCCTGCCTCTGCCTCCCAAGTGCTGGGATTATAAGGCGTGAACCACCACATCTCAGTTTAAGCTCTTGGTGGAGCATTTCTGAGTCAGGTTTTAGTACAGACGTCTGAATGTTGATTTTTGAATGAGGAGACCAGGTGTACCACAGAAGAATTCCTGTGACCTTCTTATATGTCAGAGTCAAACGAGTATCTCACCTGCTGCACTGGTGGACTCTGATCTCATGGTGGCTCCAATGTGGCTTTGTGCCCCTTGCAAAGATGGCTCTGACAGCTTAAAAGGACCTGGGGAAAGAGTAAGGTGAAATGGATTTAGGTAAAAACTTTAAAAACAAAACAAAACCAAGAATAAACAAACCAACCAACCAGCCAGTCAGGGGTGGCGCTGCATGCCGCACTTGGGATTAAATCATGTGGGCTGACCATTCAACAAAGATTCTCCAGCATCCCACAGTCGACAAAAGGTAACCCAGTCAAGACAGCCAGGCACCAGGGAAGCCAACGAACACCAGTGCATCACCCTGGGCACCATAGTTAAGTGTCAGTTGTCACGGTTGGCAAAGCCTGAAGACACCTGAGCTTCCACAGAAGAAGTAAGAGAAGCTCCCCAAAGGCCAAGAAATGCAAAATAAGCACAAGGAGTTTTGCTTTGTTTGTTTTGATTTTTTTCCTCCTATCAGGTTGGCAAAAATAATGAAGTCAGTGTTCTGGAGACTGAAGACACGGTGACCTGAAGCCAGTGATACAACTATTTCAGAGCCCGATTTTGCAGGCAGTTTCCAACAACCTTAAGAAAGTCTAACTTCTAACTTGTTAAAATTCTTCCCAAGGAGCCAGGCGGTGGTGGCGCACGCCTTTAATCCCAGCATTTTGGAAGCAGAGGCAGGCAGATGTCTATGAGTTGGAGGCCAGCCTGGTCTACTGAGTAAGTTTCCAGGACATGCTCCAAAGCTACACAGAGAAACCTTGTTTCAAGAAAAAAAAAATCTTCCCAAGGAAATTTTTTCTCTAATTAAATAATGACCCAAAAAGTTAAGTAGGTGTGACCCAAAAGCTATATTTAAGCACATCACCAACGTTAAGGGGACAAGGATCCCTCCTGTGGGTCCTTTCCTTCTCTGACTGACGGGGACACTTCCAAACAGGCCCTCTGTCACCTAGGTGAAGAGGTTTGGAAAGGAGATTCTCAGTGCATCCTCAGTATTGGAGAAGCCCCACCCGGAGCCCCAGAGCCCAAAGAACAACTCAAGCCAGTCAAGACCCATGCGTTCCCCAAGCATGCAGATGGAGGGCAGGGGCTGAACCTCGAAGAATTCCTCATTGCATCCGGCCTGCTTGTCCACCTGCCCGCCTGCTCCCACAACACAGACCGTGGCTGCCCCTCAGTATCTGCCCAGAGTTCACTGGGCCTTCAGGAGCGGCCACTGGAACTGTCTGGAAACCAGCTCAAGTGAAACTGAGCCCACAGACATGCACAGCAAGTCCTAGAGCCTCACAGGTTGGGCTCCCGGCTCCCGGCTCCCGGCTCCCGGCTCCCGGCTCCTCCCGGCTCCTCCCGGCTCCCGGCTCCCGGCTCCCGGCTCCCGGCTGCCGGCTCCCGGCTGCCGGCTCCCGGCTCCCGGCTCCCGGCTGCCGGCTCCTCCCGGCTCCCGGCTCCTCCCGGCTCCCGGCTCCCGGCTCCCGGCTCCCGGCTCCTCCCGGCTCCCAGCTCCCGGCTCCCGGCTCCCGGCTCCCGGCTCCCGGCTCCCGGCTCCCGGCTCCCGGCTCCCGGCTCCCTTCTCAGGTGTTTCTGAAAACTGGAAGCCAAACCATCCACCTGAGATGACAAAAGTTCAGAGTAACACCTCGGCACACATCAAAGAGAGGCCAGGCCAGGCGGAGCAAGGAGAGCCATTGTCAAGCACTGTCTTCAGTAGGCTCCTTGCATCTCCCTACCACGTCTTGACCTGCTGAGCACAGGGCAGGTGTCTGCCTGTCCCTCTGGGTCGCTGTGAGGGCATGGTTGGAGGACCCTGAGCCCCACGTGCTGTGACAGAGGCTGTCCCTGGTGGGTATTATGTGTAGAGGTCCATCCTAGCTGTTGTGCCTGTGCCCAAGGCCTGGCAAGAGATTTGAGACTCTCTGTCTACTCCCAAAACCGGAGTTCCAGATGAGGGGGCCCCAGATACTGGGCAACAGCTACATGGGCCACGGACCTCAAGGGAGGAGCTGAAGGGATCCAGTCCTACCTGGTATCAGCACAGTCAGAGATCAGGAGGGCAGGGGGGAGACATCGCCTCAACTGGGCACCACGCCATCTGGATGCATTGCTCCACCTAAGGCCACTTCACCTGGAGCCTACTTCCTCCCCAGCTGCTGAGCCCCTAGGCCCCTGAGCAGGCTGTGGGCGTGAAAGGCCCGCTGGCTGCTCTCGGCTCTACATCTGGATACAGCGAGCCGCCCTCTCCTTCCAGATTCAAAGCACCAGTAGTCACGGCCCTCACGCTACTGAATGAACACATGGCCACTTGGGCCAGAGGGAGCCTGAAGCCCCAGAGTTAGGACAGGGGGTGCCTGCCACACAGCACCTGCCTGCCTTGCAACCAGAATTAGAGTTCTGGAAAGCCAGCAGAGAGCCAACCTAGGAGGACAGGTCTGTCCCCTGCAGGGACCGCACCGCGTTCATCCTAAGCACCCGGAAGCCCTGGGGATGAGGAAGACGGTGCTGCTCAGCTTGTAAGCACTTTGCAGAAGCCAGAGGAAGCAAGTACTCAACAGAAAACGCGCTGCGCACTTCCCTCTTGCGGTGAGAAACTGTCCCAACGGAAAGTCAAGCGTGCCCCCCCCCCCCGTCAGCCGTGGCCTGGGAGATAGGGTGGGTGGTTGGGACTATCTGCTCAGCCTAGACAGGGAAACACGGGCTCTGATATCCACATCTGGGTCACGTCCCTAAGCCCCGCGGCGTCAGCATCCATACATACCAAAGGAGGTCAACCATGAGGCTCAGGCAGGAGCAGCCAGCACCGGGACGCCAGAGAGGAGGAGGCACATGAACCTCCACGCTATGATGTGGGCCCCCGCCACGGCTGACTTTGGGTACCCCAGCCCTGACACAGCCATTGGCCTTACACTCCAGTCACTGTCTGCGCTCTCAGGGTGTATCACGCCCTGGGCTGGCCCCTCTCCCGCCCCTCCAGGCGACAGGAGGAGTGTAGCTGGGCCAGGCTGTCTCTGAACCCAAGCTGAGTACTTAAGTGGAAAGACCAGGGAGAGAAGGATCCTGGTGTCTGCCCGCTTCAAGAAGTCGGATGCTGCCCTCTCTGCTTGCTGTGGAGGATCTGACCTGGCTGTGGGTAGTGATTTTTTTCCCTCTTGACATCCTGGACCGTCTTCAGGGCTGCGTCTCCTCTGTGAGGCAGTTGGGAATGGCTGACCCCGGATGGGAGAAGATCTGACCTTCCACCAGGACTCAGCAACAGTGTGCTCCCACACCCGAGAATCCAGCCAAGGATCGTCTACCATACCCACCAGGCCCATACCACCCACAAAGACCACACTCAATAGTTTGCATGCTCACCATGTCTGCTTGGCCTGGTGGACTCGGCCCCCTCCTTGGTCCATACTCAAAGGGACCTGAAACAGCCTGGACCCCTCAAGCATCTGCAAAGCAGCTGCCATGGCGACCTTGGCGCATCACTTGTATTGCTGTAGCCATCGGGCTAAGCGAGCAATGGGCCCACGCCACCCGGATGTCCCTTCCTACCTGCCCTGAGTTCCAGCCACACCCCTACTTCCCCTTGTCCACTCTCACGCTCAGGTTGACGCTGTCCAGCCTGTCTTCAAACCACACCTTCCTCCTGGCCTCCCATCGTCCGTTCTGCTTCTGCTCTCCAGCCTCCTCCAGAGCCGTTCCCATCCCACGCAGCCCCGGCGGACGCCCAGCCCCTTACACAGACCCATCTTCCGGGAGGAGAGTCGCTTGGAGCCCCCAAGGCACGCAGAGGCAGCAGGCACGTGTGAAGTCTAAGGCCCCGTGCTCTGCCTGCTCTGGTGGCTGTCCCTCCAGTCTGCTGAGACAAGGCTGTCACCTTCCGATTACGGAGCTTTCTAAGCAGACTAGAAAGTACAAAGGGAGGACACACCTCGTCTCTGCCACTTGCAGCTTCTACCTGCTTGCTTCACCTGGGACTCGTGAGGTGGCCTGTAGTCACCAGCCCGTTGTGCCCCGTTTCTCTGCGACAGGCATTTCTGGTTGTTTTGGTCTTTCACTTTTCCATCCGCCCACAGGACCCTCCTGGGCAGACAGCTCATGTGGCAAAAGTGCTTGTCGAACGTAAGCCCAAGTGTGGGAACCTATGTTTGGATTCCCAGAGCCCACGTCAACGCCTGGTGGAAGTGGCGGTCCACCTGCAAGTCTATCCTTAGAAGGCAGAGAGGTGAGACGCCAGAGAAAGCCAGCTAGCACAACCAGCCACAGCTACAGACCCCAGGCTCACCTGAGGGGCCCTGTCTGTCTCAGTGAAGAAGGCAGAGGAGCAACTGAGGATGGAAACACACACATGCGCACACACACACACTCACGCACGCGCACACACACACGTACACGCATACATAAACACACACGCACATACACACACACAGGCACATGGGCATGCGTGCACACACGCACATACACACATACAAACACACACACGAACACACACACACACACAAACACACACACACACAGAAAAAGGGAAAAAAAACCCTTCAACCTCATTTCCGTCCTCAAATTCAGAACACCCTTTGGGCAGGAATTGTAAGATTACCAGTGTCAACCTTACATCATGTAGAGCTGATGGCCCTTCCGCCACGCCATGCTTCCCAATTTGATAGCTCAAAAAAAAATGTCCCTTTTTAGTGCACATTTCAGTTTGCGGCCTGGCGCCGGCTAGTCTTATTTCTCACCCACTCTCCCTGTCACCATCCTCACCCCTCCGTGTGGCTAACCCCCCTCGCCATTGTGCCGTGTGTCCTCAGTAAGAGAGAGCAAGTGTCTGCCTCCCTCCCCAGTCCTCTGTAGCTAACCCAAACACTTGTCGATCCCATCTAGGTGGCCTCACAAACCCAGGAGACTGTACGAGATCCCCCTGCTGGGTGCCTGTCCTCAGAAATCTGCTAGTCCCCAGGATCTTGTCCCACGACCAGACAAACTACTGCCTATCCCAGCTGAGCCCCAGATGTCCTGTCCACCTCTCCTCAGAGCCTGCCTCCAACCCTAGGCAACTCCTAGAAACAGGAGCCCTCACCCCACCAGCCATACTGCCCAGGATGTTATCAAGGCCTTGACGGCCTTCAGTTCCCTGTCAGAGAAGTCCAGTCCCTCCACTGTTGCCTTGTACCTTTGACTGGGGTGAGGACCTTCCAGAAGGATCCAGGTATGTCAGAGCGTGAGCACTACAATGTGTGCTATTATCCCTGGTCCCCAACATGGGTGCATATGGTGCCCGATTTCCCTCTTGGGGACAGACCTTGGTTAAACACTTGGGGCCAAGCCCCACTAGTATACATCAAAGCATATCTCTCTCAGACGCCACTGTGGAGGGGCCGCTCCCCACCCAGACCCAAGGCCTGCTGACTTACCTAAGTCCTGAGGCAGCCCTGAGCAGGTCCGTCCTGAGGCAGCCCTGAGCACCCCTCTGCAGGCCCAGCTGAATGGTTTCAGGAAGTAGCAGGGGTCTGAGCATGCTCACTCTTGAAACTCCCCTAACCACAAGGCAGGCTGAGCCTGAGGACTGTATCATTGCGATGACAGCGGCTCCTCTGTCAGACAGTGCAGTCGTGTAGACGGTTCTTTTTCATCCGGGGCCTGGCATCGGGGGCTCCTGTGCCAGGAAGGCACTGACTGGGCACACTGCTCCGTATTAGAACACCCACCCACCTGGTTCCCTGCATGTGCCCTACCATCCCAGCCAATCCCTTTCTGAGCCCTGTAGAGGCACACCTCCACCCTGGTTCTGGTTGAGAAACCACCCTCTATTTCAGAACAAAGCCCTCACCCGGTATCTCTGCGAGCGGTTTTCCTCGTGAGGCCCCATGAAAACCAGAGGGGGAGCAGGTGGTGTTGCTGGAGCAGCTCCTACACTGAGGCCTGCCTGGGCAGGTGGGCACAGCCCCACCTTGGGGTCGCACATCTCTCATCCAAACGTAGCCCATTTTCTCTGGAAAAGGCCAGATGGCAAGTGTTGTGGCCCACCACAAACTTAGCCGCCCTCCCGAAAGCTTGGCTCTGGGCTCTGGGGTATTGGGCCTTATCCCTCGTCAGACCCCGAGGTCACTGGTTCAGTCCTGGCTCTTCCAGTAGCAAAGGCCCTGAAAGAATGTGTCCAGGACGCCTTCAGGAGAGCAGTTAGAAAGGAGATATCACATCCCCGGGTGAGTCCGAGGATAGGAGTCCTCCTTTACCAACACCGCCCAGACCAAGCCGGGCTTCAAGGCTGAGGAGGCCTCTTTCTCTTCCCCCACCCCCGACAGACATTTACATATTTGTGTGGGCGTGGGCGGCTGTACAGTCCCTAGAAAGCTGGGCCGGCAGCTGGCATGTGAGCCTGAAGACAGCGCTCATCTTAACTTTCTGGACCCACCTGTCCATGGGCTGTGACCTTCCAGGAACCTAGGGCGGAAGCAAGGTCCCCCCGCCCCTGTGTGCCCCGCCCCAGACCCCTCCTTGGAGGGCAAAAGGGTTTGGTGGCTGAGGCACAAGTGGACATGTCCTCCTGAAACCTGATCAGCCTTCCTGGGAGCTCCACCTTCCACTCGCCACAAGGAGTGGCAGCTGTCTTTTCTGATTCCATAGGCGGCCATTAGCATCCTTCCCGTGTTTACTAATTTTGTGAACTAGCGAACAGCGCTCTTGCTTACCTGCCCCAGAGGTCTCGGCACAGCAGACCACACCGATGTCACAGCCCTAAAACATGGTTGAAGCTCATTACAAACTGTCCATTGGACCACTCTTTTTTTTTTTTTTTTTTTTTCGAGACAGGGTTTCTCTGTGTATCCCTGGCTGTACTGGAACTCATTCTGTAGACCAGGCTGGCCTCAGATTCACAGAGAGATCCTCCTGCCTCTGCCTCCCGAGTGCTGGGATTAAAGGCGAGGGCCACCAACGCCCGGCCCATTTGACCCCTGTTTAATGATCACTTCCCAGTGTCCACCATCATCTCCAGATGTAAAGCTGGAAGTCCACGTTCGGTAACATGGGCGGTGGTACCTTGAATGTAGTTGGCCCCCATAATCTCACAGGGGGTGGCACTATTAGGAGGGGCAGCTTGGACGGAGTGGGTGTGGCTCTGTGGGAGGAACTGTTGCTGTGGGGGTGGGCGCCCAGTGTCTGAGTCAACTTCCTGTTGCCTGCAAGGTGTAGGACTCTCAACTGCTTCTCCAGCGCCCCATCTGCCTGCACGTCGCCATGCTCCCGCCATGATGATAATGGACGGAACCCCTGGAACTGTGAGCCACCCCAGGGAAACGTTTCTTTATGAGAGCTGCTGTGGTCACGGCCTCTTCACGGCGATGGAGACCAGCCTACCCAGTTGCGGCCACCATTATTACACCTTCCGAGTCTACAGAGGTGACAACCTAGGGACCTCAGTGTCAGCAGCACCAGACACTCTTTGTCCCGTGTTGCTCGTGTTGGTCATTCAGTGTCCTCCAGATTCGCCCAGCCACAGCAGGTATCTGACCGCTTCTTCCTCGTGGCTGGGTATCGTTCCTCCAGAAGGTGGGCACCTGCTGCTTATCTGTCGTCTACAGACGGGCACGTGTCACCCACGAATGCACACATGGGCCACATCTCCGCCAAGACCACTAGAGTTTCTTTTGTTTTTTTAAGATTAATCATACATTTATTATGTGTACAGTGCTCTGTCTGCATGTCCACTTAAGGCCAGCAGGGGGCACCAGATCTCATCGTAGATGGTTGTGAGTCGCCGATGTGGTCGCTGGGGATGGAACTCAGGACCTCTGGAAGAGCAACCCGTGCTCTTAACCTCTGAGCCACCTCTACTGCCCTTCGTTAGAGTTTCTATTGCTGTGATGAGACACCATGACCAAGAAGCTAGTTAGGGGAGAAAGGGTTTATTTTCCTTACACTTCCGCATCGTAGTCTGCCATTGAAGGAAGTCAGGACAGGAACTCGAGCTGGGCAGGATCCTGGAGGCAGGAGCTGATACAGAGCCCATGGAGGGTGCTGCTAACTGGCTTGTTCCCCATGGCTTGCTCAGCCTGCTTATAGAACGCAGGACCACCAGCCCAGGGATAGCACCACCCACAAAGGCCTGGACCCTCCCCCATCAGTCACTAATTAAGAAAATGCTTCACAGCTGGATGTCATGGCTGCAGTTTCTCAGGTGAGGTTCCCTGCTTTCAGATGACCCTAGCTCGTGTCAAGTTGACGTAAAATCAGCCAGGACAGACTCTTAACGGGAGCGCAGGATTTATGGACTTTTACATCCTTGGTATATTCTTGTCAAAAAGTCCTCCTCCCCCTCCTCTTCCTCCCCCTCCTCCCCCTCCTCTTCCTCCCCCTCCTCCGCTTCCTTCCCCTCTGCCCCTCCTCACGTGGGTGATTGCTTTCTGTCTGTGTACCACGTGCCTGCCTGACACCCACAGAGGCCAGAAGGAGGGCACTGGATCTCCCGGAACTGAAGTGACAGATGGACCCTCGGGAACTGGAGTTCAGAAGACCGTGGGTCACCGTATGGATGCTGGGAATCGAGCCCGGGTCCTCTGCAGTCAGTGCTAGTAACTGCTAAGCTGCCACTCCAGCCCCAACCGTTGCTATTCTTGAGGAAGCTAAAATTGCCCCACATTTGACAAGCTGCCTCTGTGCTGATGGCCGCATGGTCTGTCTCCTTAGGTCTGTCATCATGTTCATCTGTTTCCAGACACCTGGCTGCCTGTGGGGTTTGCTGTGAGTTAACAGAGCCCCAGATCCCACAGCAGAGCTAGGCGTCCTCGGGGCCCAGCCTTAGCTCCTCTGCCCTTGATTTCCCTCCTTTGGGTCTTACTGATGCCAAGGGGCAAAGGGAAATGGAGTTGTCTGTGGAGTCCACCCTCTCATACACAAAAGGGCAAAAGGCCTCCTATCTCAGCAAGGGAAGTGTCGAAGGGACACGCCCAAAACAGAAGAGGAGGGGGAAGCAAAGGCGTTTTAGAGAGCTGTCAACCCCAAGGGCTTGCCATCCTCAACACCCCAAGTATGAAACACAAGTCACTGTGCTTCCGACAACATTCCACAGTGTCCCAGCTGGGCCCAGGCTGCTCCATCCCTGAAAACTCTGTTGGCTACACCTAACCATAGGGGTTTCTTGCCAGTGCCCACCTGGTAGCTTCCAAAAACCCTCAGAAACCAACCCCAGGCCTTTATCTCATTATCAGAGCAGCTACGAGTGTTCCGGTCTTGAAAGCTGTGTTCCAAGTGTCAGGAAGGGAGGGAGGAGAGGACAGTAAGGCCGGAATCACTCAGCAGGTCTGCTGCTGCCTCCTCGACAGAGAGGTTGAGGGATCGATGGATGGGGGCCGGAGGAGCAGCCAAGCACGTGGAGTTACCGCAAGGCCAGAGAGGAACCCAATGGCAAGGGCACGCTCTCCCAGGGCAGTGGCCTGAGGGGGACGAGGAGCTCCCAGGCAGGCTGGGGAGCCCGGGGCACTCAGAAGGACAGCTGGGTGCAGCAACCTGCCTTGAGGGGGTCTTAGAAGCAGTGTCCTGATTGACTCTCCTCAGTACGGGAATCTGGAACATTCCATCTCTGCCTTTGGAAATTACCCAGAAGGATTCCAGGTTGGCCCAGTCAGGGTCCAGAACCTAGCCCGACACCTGCCAAGCCAGGGCTGGCTATAAGCAACCGTGGAGGCTTGGGCACAACTGGATCCTTAGCTGGGGCAGGAAGGCCACACCCCAGCGTACGCTCCAGCCCTGCCTGGCTCCTGCTCTCCCTCCCCTTAAGTTCCCATCACCCTTGACCTCAGACATTTATTGTCACCTCACCTGAGAAAACCCTGTGTCCATGCCTGGGCCCTGCTCTTGGCTTTCTCTTTTTGTCTGCTTTGTGAGGGAGTCAGGCTGCACCTGAGAACTGGGGGTGATACTCACTTAAGTCCCAGGGCCCATAGCTCCGGATCTCCGCTCCTGTCTGTTAGATTCAAGCCATTGGGAGGACTCGGGGCAACAGGGAGGGTCTGGGAAACCTAAGCCCCTTCAGGACTAGAGCCCTGTCTCTGTGGTCCCTTCATGGGGGTCCTCTCCACTCCCCCACATCTTTTCTGTCCTCGAGTTCATCTGTTCGCCACTCGTTGATACTCTCTGGGAGAAGCAGCAGCAGCAGGGTGCCCCTGCACACAGTCCTTGGGGCACTCTGTGGTACCCCAAGCCTGAAACTGAAAGCTGTTTGGAGCAAGTGGGCACCTTGCAGGACCAGCTCCCTGCACTCAGGGAGGTGTGCGGTGGAGCACCTTTCAATGACCTGACACCAAGGTGGCAGGAGAGGCCTGATCAGTGACCACCTACTATGTGCTAGGCCAAGAAAGACTCTCCCCCTGAAAGACTCTCCACCACAGTCCGTCTCTCTGGCCTCTCATATTATAGCCCCTCAGCCCCTCGGTGGATACCCTCAGCCCCCAGATCCGCTCTTGGAAGCTTCCAGGAACTGTCTGTATTTACCCTAAAGGTTCCTCGAGGGAGGAAGAACCCTGACTCAAAGGCCAACCCCAGATGCTGGGACTGCCTGCTCCAAGGGTCTTTCCCGTGAGTCAGCTGGGAGCCGGCACTGAAATGCAGAAGTACACACTGCTGTGCGCGCTCACTTCTGCTTACCCGGTCCCGAGCCACCTGGCGATGAGCACACCGAGGAAGCCTTCAGCACCCCTGTCAGTGGAGTGATCCAGTCCGTTTCTGTGTCACTTGGGTGTCAGCCAGGACAAAGGCCGGAGGCAGGGGCAGCCAGGCCCTCTTCAGCTGGTCTCTCTATGCCCTGGGAACTTCTCACTGGCCTGCCACACCGAAGCCACCCAACCCCCTCCCGAGAGCACAGCTCCACTGTCAAGCGAACGCGTAGCATCTCTGGAGATACAGCAAGGGATGCAGGGACTCAGGCATTACTCTGGCCTGCCCCTGTCACCCGGCAGAGTGCATTCAGGCAGCACCCTGGTCAGCCCAGGGTTCCATGACTGCACGCAGGTGCAAAGGACCCCTTTAAAAGACAGCCCCTGCCCACTTATGCTCTCTTTCCTGCTCCTCTCTTTCCTCTCTTTTCCCTCCCTCTCCCCTTTCTCGTTCCTGCTGTTCCCCAGGGGGCAGACAGGACGTTTCCTGTCTCCCTCTTCTCTTCCGTCCTCTCTGTGTCTCTTTACCTCTTTTCTCTTTCCTTCCCTC